AAGAACTTTATCCTCCCCTGAATCATGACCATTGTTATCCCAGCTTCTTTCTTCACTGTAACCCTTGTCATACTCATCTGAATCATCTTCTTCTAAAGGTTTCACAGTGTTTGCAGCTAAACTCTCATGAAAACCGTTATCTGCCCAACTGCCAATCGAATAGCACTCGTGCTATCTAACTTCATCACTATGGTGATAATCCATTGGTGACTCAGGGTTTTCAAAGTTCGGGTAGCAGTGGTGTGGTAAAGAAAATCGTCTCCTTGCAGTATTATTATCGATCGAAGGTTGGTAATATCTGTCGAACGATGGTGTAGTAGCTGGTTCATGAGAACAACCGAAGAACCTATCTTCCTCCTTGAGTAGAACATATTCAACAGACCGTTCCTTTTCGTAGGGCTCTTCGTACTCCTCTATGTCTGGGTCATGATGTTCTGATGGTGGGCCAGTGGTGAATGCAGCAGTGGGTGGTAGTAATCGTTCTCCCAACTATCAATGGAATCTGTTAGGCCCAAAATTGGGCCCATTGAATTCGTCAGCATGAAGCCCATTAATAATCGGGCAAATGAGCCCCACGAGAAGCCCATCAAGTAAGACGAGAGCGGAGATCGCGGAAGGTTCATGGAAGTAGTTCGAGGAATCGGTCAAAAAAGAGACTATAAAAAGGGAGCTAGAGTGAAGCACAACACACACACAAAAACCCTAGAGCTTACCACTACTCACATCGACCTCATTTCTTAGTCTTTAGTTCGTTTATAGTTTCGATCTCTCTTTGTTATTCTCTATCTTGATTATTGCTTTGTATCAAACCTCATATCAATAAAAGTTCATTTTTGTTAACTGAATTCTGATTGTATCGTTGTGTTCTAAGAGCATCGTTTCCCACATCATTTGTCTTCCCAAGATTTAACTCTTGATCACTACAAAATACTTAGTGTAGATTTTAGGATCTACAAAACCCTCTGGAAAATCGTCGATCTCTGATTTGGGTTGACTATCGATCGATGCTTCTGTGAATCGGTCGATCAATTGTTTGACATTGCTACTGTCGATCGATTCAGAAGTGTATGTGTCGATCGATTCCGCATAGTCGGTTTCTTAGTCTGCACCACAGTGGCAGGCTGCAACAAGATCTATGTCGTCCCCCTTTCCTATTGAAGGCTTCTGAAACTTGCTAACACGTAATGGGTCATAGTAGGCTTTGGGGTTGATCAGTGTAAGGCACAAATTGTTGGTTTCCATGTCAACAACAGCTCCAACGGTTTCCATAAATGCTCTCCCAAGTAATAAGGATGAATTCCAATTCAGCTTGATGTCCAAAATGTGGAAATCAATTGGAACTAGGGCATTACCAATCTGTACCTTCAAATATCTGATGTTTCTCCTGAGTTTCTCTGAGAACAATCCACAAAAGTGAAAGATTCTTTGGATGGCTCTATCTTCAGACCTATTTTATCTGCCATGACTCTTGGTAGGATTCTGACTGAAGCTCATGTATCACATAAAGCATGGAGAAACTCGATACCCTTGACCAGGCAGGGTATTGCATAATTCCCTAGATCACTCTTCTTCGTCAAAGTAATCCCGTTTCTCATCATTTCTCTGATTTAGTTGAAGAATCTCTCTATATCAGCTTCTGTTTCACAAGTTTCTCTGAAGAACATCCACAATCTATGAGTATAATAGGCTTCATCAAATGGTTTATGTAATGGAATCCTGAGAACTCATTTTGTGAAACTATCCAGTTCTTTTTTGTTAACCTTCCTTTTCAGATGCTTAGCAATCTTCCCTTTCCTTGTCCTTGTAGGTCTTTCCTTTTCTGCTTCATCAACTTCCATACCTTCTGGTAGATCATCTGGACATGTGCTGATGTCATCCAAACGGTTAGGTAAAAGTTTAGACGTGTGCTTAAGTGCTACAAGTCATGCTCCATCAATCGGTGGTATATGCACTAGGTAAGTTAAAGGTGCATGTCGATCGATGGGTGCCTTTGAATATCGATCGTCATCTGTGTCTTCATATCGATCGATCGTGGGTGAGATGGATTGATTGATGCTGAGGTGAAAGGGTTTGGGTGGGAAAGGATATTTTGCCATGAACTCTTCGTGGGTCATTATCTTTACCGTGTTGCACGACTTAACTGAGTATGTGGGGGTTGTCGATCGATTTGGTGGAGATCCTGTCGATCGCGTTTCGGTGGAGGTAGTCAGTCGATGGTGGTCCCTTGATGTCGATCGACACCAGTGTGATATGTTTACATTATCATAGAACAACATGCTTATCAATAATATGGCAACTTGTTTTTGGCTATTCAATAATAATAAAGCAAAAATGACGTCTGGTAAAATGGAACAAACCTTTTTTTTTAAATGACACCTTGTGAAAAATTTTACTTTCCTTTGTGTATTGATTCCACTTAAATATATAATTATATATTAAACCTTGTTTTGGTTTAATTGTATTGGATATTTTGTTTTAGTTGTTCACATCATGAACCTACATGTTTCACTTTAATATATTAGATTATGTTATAATGTTGTCAGAATTCATCATTCAAATAGTATTTTAGTCAAAAAGTTATAGACATTCATAACTACAATATGTATTGAATCAGAAACTGAGAAATGTGCTTTATTTTCACTTGTGTATTATGAGTTAAACTCTGTCATCTCCTTTGCTGCTCTGAAACTGGTCTGTTAATCCAAAGTGTGTTGATCCATGTAATCCATTTTAAACCAAACGAAGTTAATGCTCACCTCCTCTACTGATTGCTCCACGTTCAACGTAGAATCACAATGACACGGTACATAACAGAGAAGTTCCAACCAGACTGCTTAATATCTCCCATTTTTCTTTGCCATACCTCTCATTAAGATGCCTAAGGGCTTTAACCATGCCCATATTAACAACACAGACTAGCTTCGATCTCCCTTGACTTATTTTGTTCTCAACATGCAGCTCGGTTGTTGTATGCCTATATGAATTACAAAAGAAAAGAAAACAAATTCATTTACAAAATCAAATACATAAGCCTTTGTACACAACACAACACTGATACTTCAGGGTAATGTCTCACAGCATCATGATATTTTCCTTGGAGAACTCACTGCCTGTATTAGAAACACAATATGATGTTAATTCAAATCTATTTCCCAAAATATACTTGCAAAAGAAAAGTACCTTTCTAACGCTCACCAATACTGGGATCAGAATACTCTCTATGCTCAAACTTTTTTTGAATCCCTCAGCCTCTTCAATGTATTTGGGTTATGGTCTTCCGTAAGAGATTTCTAGCAAGTCATAATCATAGAATCAGACAATACCTGTTCAAAGAGAAGTGTTAGATTCTGGTGAGACATCACTAACATCAATATGGATTGCTCCAGCACATCTGAATCAAACATTGATTTCTGAACTGAGAACAAATCTAGAGTTAAGTTCGTTATTACTCCTCAATACAGGATCTGTGAGAATGTTCTGGATTGTCGGTCTTGCATTCCGCTAGTCTGCAAGAAGGAAAAAACAAAGATAAACTCACTGGTTGTCTCTAAACCAGAAAAGGAATAATACATAAAAATAAGTTAGAATTTAACCTGTCTTTCTTTAAACTTCTCGGGAGAAAGGTCACCACATTTTGCTTGTTGATTCTTTGTACACATCCACCGCTATGTTTGATTGGCATGTCGGAGTACACAACGGCCTTGCCATTTGCTTTCTTCGACATAGGATCGTCAGAGACAGATTTGGCGAAAGAGACACCGGTTTGGCTGGTACGTTTGATCGGCTCGGTGGAGGAGAAACCATTCTTTCCGTTTGGTTTCTTCGGGATAAGATCACCGGAAACAGTATATTTTCTGTTGGAGTTCACCGCTTAAAGAGAGTATACACAATTTTGTTTGTAATAACTCGGAAAAAAAAAGAAAAGAGTTATAAAGAAACTTAAAGGGAGAAAAACGAAAGGAAGCCATAAATGAGAATTTTGGAGGATTCATTGCACAGAGATGGAGTAGTGTGTCGATTAATCGACGATCAGTTGAAGAAGTTGAAACGACGAATATAGGTAATTCTGGAAGGGATTCATCGACTCAGCCTCAGAATTTTAGGGTTTCTGTTGGATTGGGCTTATGGGTCAAAGACTACAATTTATAGATCAATAAAAAAAGAGCAGCCCAACACTTCCCAAATCCGTGGTAAAAAAAACAGTTTCTCTATTAGCTGATTTTCCATGCTGACATGGACATCCTCTCTGATGTTTGTATTTTCTTTTTACTTATTGTTTGATATATATATATATATATAAAGAAATATTTTCATAATTTTGGATTATAAGTGTTCAAATGTGAACTTTTTAAAAAAAAAATTCGAAATTTTCTTTTTGAAATTCAAAAATGCTTTTTGATACTATTTTTAGAACTTTTATAAAATTTTGAATATCTATTTTTAATTTTTAAAATGTTACCCCTTTTTCTGTAACACTTTAAAATGTTACCCTTAAAACTCTACCTTTTATCTTTAAACAAAGAAATTAGGGTTTAGTCCTAATGGTATAAAGGTATATTTACCGTTCAATAAAATCTCTTTTAATCACTTTCGTTTTGGGAAACTATTTTTGTGAAAATAAATTTAAAAAAAAAGTATTCTAGAGAATTCCTTTATTCCAAAAATGAAAACAAAAACTGAGTGTAATAAACCCTTCAAAAAGATAAGGATTTGAGTTAAGAATATCTCCAATCTCACACTATATTTTACTATAAATGGAATAAAATATAGTGGAAAATTAACTAATGAACAAAAAAAATACTCTTTTGAGTAATTTTTTTTTGTTTCTTCATTATTTCATTTTTCACTTTGTTTTACGGTAAAATATAGACTAGAGTGGAGATGTCCAAGATTTATCTAAAAATATTCATATAGTATACTTTTACCAGCCCATGAAAAAATATAATGAAGTCTTTCCGGCCCAGATGTATTCTTTTTGACTCTGTTTCGATCTCAAGAAAATAAAGCGAAGTGGGTTATGTCTAGGAACTGAAGAGATAAGAGAGTGGAAGAACGATGTCTGCGACAACAACTCCATATCTCTCTCTTCCGAGTTTCAGACCAAGATTCCAAAATCGAGCTAACACCCACCAGTTATCTCCACTCTCTTGGTCTGTTTCAAGGAGAAAAATCCTGTCTCCTGTCAGACAACAAGCTCCTACTGCTCTTCTTCACCAGGAAATAAATCAATTATGGAGATTGTCTGCAACACCAGAGGAGATAGTTTCTTCTGATACTTCTCCTTCAGAAGCTATTGTGTCTGGTGGTGGTAGTCAAGATGGTGTTGCTTTGATTATACAAGTGCTTCTCATTGTCGCTTTTCTTGCTCTCAGTGTTCTCACCATTGGTGTAAGTTTTATCCACATACCAAAATCTTATCTTAACTCGTCAAATATGTTTAACAAATGTTGATTCAAACCAAAACCTGAAACCCGGTTTGCAAGTGCCTAAACCGGTGACAGTAAGATTTTTACAGGTTGTTTACATTGGAGTGACTGACTTTCTTGGGAAGAGGGAGAGAGAGAATTTTGAGAAAGAAGAGGCAGCAAAGAATTCTAAGAAAAGTAGCAAAAAGAAAGCAACGAGAGCCAAAGCTGGACCAAGGGGGTTCGGTCAGAAGATTGAAGATGATGACATTGACATTGATCTTGAATGATTATTTTTGTTCCATTGTTTGAGAGAGAGAGACAAGATAGCTCTCTGTTTTTAAGACTCTGCGATTGTCATATCTATTATACTTTTTTGCTTGACAAGCAATTTGACCAATATAAACAAGAAAACTTGCAAACTCCAGAAATGAAATAGAAAAATAGAGTTTGATGAAACAAATTACATAGATGGGCAGAGAAACTCTAAACTGAGATTGTCCTAAAAGCATAAACACTCTCTCTTCAACACATTTGGCACTATAACACGGCCATTCTCGAATATGTGTGAAGGGAAACCCTAAAATCCTCACCATTTCACAACCCATCTTTACACCAGTCTCTCCCTCTCTTTCACTCATTCAGCCTAAGGATGGATGCTTGGTTCTATGTATAGAAAAACCGTAGGAAACTACACAATTTTACAAGACTTCTGCAGAGAAAAAGCTTCCTGCATGATTATTTCCGGGTTTATATCTTACCTATTTAAAACGCAACGGCAGACTCTAGTTATGATGTACAACACTTGCAGCCTTCAAGCCATCTGAGGCTGATTTATGGACGGCTGCAAACCCATTCTCCTCTCTGCATATAAACGCAAAACCACTTAGAGACATTGCAATGCTTATATTTGTCTCTTTCGCTAACGTAGGAACAAAGAGACTTAGGCAGTTTGCAGCACATAAAGGCTTAGAATTTTCACACAGAAAAGAGAAAGAACAAGTACATACCTCCAGCAGCGACGAGTTTTTCAACACGGGCAACGATATGCTTTCCGTAAGTGTATTTCTTCAAGGCATTAAGATGCACTTTAATACGAGCAAGTATGAACTCACGACGTTGGTCATCACATGTCTCCAGAACCTTTTGCACTACATAGTTTGCAAACTGATCCTTCATCATCGCCTATATACACAATAAGTTAGTTGCATTTGAAATATATGGTTTTCGTTTATCTACAATAATCTGTATCAGTTTGACAAACCTGAAGAGGCTCATTTTCATCAGTTGTGCCCAGCATCTCATTTACAAGCAACTCTCGTTCCTCTAGACATCCAAAAGTCAAACATTTCTCAACAACGTTTGATGCAAACTTCTGCTGGCTCATCTGAACAATCTTCCCTGCTAGTTCTGTGATTATCACAGTTCGCTCATCAGGTTTTCCATGCTCCAGTACGTGCTGTCCAAAACAAATTGTATCAGTTTTGAGCAAATAATATAGTACCACCAATTGCGTGAAAAAAACCTCATAATTTTCTACAAACCTGGATAACATAGTTTCCATACTGGTCTTGGGCCAACATACTAACACTGGACAAGATTTCTTCCATCACCCTACTCTGTGTAACCGCGTTATGGCAGTGTTCCAATACCCTCTGCAATAGAAGAAGAGAAAGCGTCATACAACAGAAGCATAAGATCAAGAAAACATTCATCTTTTTTTTTATTCACAAATGAAAGAACCTGAACAACACGGCACCCATATGGGTGAGTGGAGAGAGTCACAATTTGACTAAAGAAGGTAGAAATAATAAACTCAATGTTTTCTTCAGGGACACATTCGATGCACTTCTGAACCACATGGTTCCCATTCTGATCACGTACACATCGCATGACATGTCCATCAAGTTCTTTCACCATCTTAATTTTCTGGTCTAGATCAACCACCTCAATTGCCTAAAAAGGTATAAAGAGAAAAAAAATTGAAACTGGAACTCTTCTTCTGAACGGAAGATAGACTTATCAACAATTAGACTTTACCTTCTGGATGACACGACAACCATACATCTGTAGGCTAAGAGCCAAAACATTGTCAAAGAGCTTCTCTGCTAATTCTCTCCTCTGTGGCGGGAGTCCATGCTCAAAGAACTGAAGGATGATTAGTATGCTCAGGAGTCTCCCTTGTTAATATTTCTAAACTAACAAAAACAGAGAAGAAGAATAATCTACCTTTTGAATGACATAGTTTCCAAAAACATCAGTCATCAGGGCAAGCGCTTGTGGCATGATCTCCTCATAAACCATGTTTTTCTCATCAGTTGTTGCTGTCTCCAGTTTCTGCTGGATAAACCGGCTCCCATATTGATCCGCACTGGTCAGCCATTTCATAAGTATGTTTTAGCTTGGAACAAATCATAAATGGTACACAGGAATAAAGGTAAAGACTTTCAAAGAAGTACCTGAACTCCACAACATGACTAGCTATCTCAGAAAGTTCAAATCCTCTTGTTTTGTTACTTTTGAACTCTTCAAGTAACGAGGATCCAAAGCCTCCATCCAAGCTAGCACCCAAGTGCCAAGAATCCATTACGCCTCCCGAGTAGTTTCTTGCTGCAGAAGGATATCGCATATTAACTTCACCTCTTCTCATAGGGCTAAGAGGTGCCACAAGAGGATTTTGCATAGCATGAAGAGCCAATGGGCTCCCAGGGTATGACATATTAGATCCAAATGTCGGACTCCCATAATAGCTATGGCTATTAGGGCTCACAGATTTGTAAGGGACACCATACTGTGATTTCTGAGCTCCCAGATAAGCCCTTTGGAGTTCAAGCATACTCATGTATGAATTACCCATAAAGCCCATATCCATTCTAGGATCATTAAGAAGATCAAGCGAATCAGCATACTGATGATACATTGGGTCTGCAATATGTGACTGAAGACCAGCACCTCCTGCCATCATTCGGTTACTGATCCTGCTGAGATTACGTGATTCAGAGAGGTTTTGACCAGAAGATGCAAAACCTCTCCCATAAAGTCTGGAGTCCAAAGCAGATGCCGAGGAAACATCTTCATACATTGGAGAAAGGTTACTAGTCCCAAGCTGGCTAGCCATCATAGAAGCTACATCTGGAGTTAACGCACAGTTGTTCAGGCCAAAGTTTGGGCTATCAAGATACTGATGCTGGTAAGGACCAGGTAGCCCAACTCCCCTGTTATAGACAGATCCTTGTGACCCTCTCAATTGTGGATTCCTCCGAGAACCAGTTGACTTATGAGCTTGATTAGAGTCATTTGGGAACCCCTGTTGATTAACTTCGTTATGACCACCAAACATATAGCTCCTGACCTTTTCGACATCCTGCTCAGCCTGACCACGTTCATCTAACCCACCACTGCCCGACAGGTTCATAGCAGACAGAGCAGAGGCGAGATCAGAAGACTCGTTGAGACCAGACCCATTGAAAGGGCTTTGATTACTTGTGTTCCTCTTATCATTTGCACTAGCTCTTCCACTTCCAATGGGAGTAAGGCAGGGACTAGGCACCCTAGCAACGGCCTGCGGATCTGGAGTTCCATTCCTAGACAATGAAGAACCAAGAACAGCTGCATAGCTGAACGGTGGTTGTGCACCTATGCCTTGTGACGCATATGAAGACGGATTATCTGCGTAGTCGCCTTTTTCATTACGACTTGCAGGACGTGAGGGCTGCTGTGCAATGGGATTCCCAAGCCCCATGTCAGCCTGCAAAAAGAAGTACAATCAAATATGGATTTTCGTCTACTAATTTCCTTAATAAAAGTATCACAATCGGCCACATGTATGCTTGCATAACTAGGCTTTTAAAGCAAACACCATAAAGCCAAGGCACAAAAGAAATAACAGAGAACAAAGTTATGGCAAAAACAAAAATTTAGACAACCAAAAAGCCGTAGATTGAAATGATAAAGAGAGGTTTCAACCAACCTGAAAGATATCAGCAAAACTCTTCTGCTTGCCTCCAAGATCCAAACCGATAAGCCCATTAGCATCCCACTCAGAAGAAGAAGCATTAGTTTTCTCAGGCTCAAATTCTTGCTTCTTCATCTGCTCAAAACCAGGCGGCATAGAGAACAAAGATTGATGACTATCATTCACTTTCCTCCTATCACCAATACCACCTAACACAGCGCTACTCCCTTTAACCCTCTGAGCAACCCTCAAATCCTCCCTAGACAACAAAGGAGGAGGCAACCTCGGATTCAACTTCATATTAGCATTGTAATAAGACAAGTAAGCTGGATCTTTCCTAAACTCCTCATCCTCACAGCCAAACCCATTTCCCAAAAACGGAGCCCCACCTCCGCCGCTGAAAAGCCCTCCGGCGGCGCTAAAGGAACCGTCCACGGTGGGCGGAGCAGAGCCGCTTCTGTACAAGTTAAGCTCTTTCTCGAGCTCATCAGCTTCCTCTTGCCGTCGCTGCTGCTCGCTAAGCAAAGCTCCAATCTCTTTCTCGTAATCATCCCCAAAGGAGGAATCTCCGTTTCCTCTAAGCATCGGCCTTCTTCCCAGTTCAGGAATCATTATTACCGAACAACAACAAGAAAAACTCTTAAAGATGAGACCTTTCTACCTCGAATATATACAATCAGTTCTTAGTTAGAAGTAACACAAAGATCAAAACTTTTAGGCTCTACTCAAACTAATTCACAAGAGTTTCCATGTTACTGTGTGTTTTATGTTAATAAGAACCCTAATAGCGACAAGATGAAGGAGATAGCGATTTTGAGTTTTATAGTGTTAACGGAATTATCCGACGGCGATGCAAGAACCTTAGGGTTTCTTGTTTGTTTTTAACTATGAAAAGTTAAATAAAGATAAATTACTGAAAATCATTTGCCCCCAAAAAGAGAGATTACAGAAAATTCTTATAAAACAAAATATCTAGAAGGAATGAATTATCTCTTTTCTCTTTCTTTTTTTTTTCCTTTAGATATCATCATCTATTCTATTAAAATAAAATCATTCTTTTTATCTACTGATACAAATTGTCTTTTAAATTTGGACTCTTTCTAGAGTGTTACAAATAATACAAGTTATATAGTTGATTGAACCGAATCACTTAAATTAAACCGACGGTTATTTATAAAAAGGATTTTTGGGCTTACTTTTATTTTTATGACATTTAATTGTTTGGTTTATGGACTTAGTATTAAAGAAAAACTCCAAAAAACATTAAATAAACTTTTCACCTTAATGGATCAAAAATCAATTACTATTTTCAGGCCCAAAAATATTTAATATATTCAAGAAAACAAAATTATCTATTATTAATCACTTATTTAAATCATGTACTTTAAAACATGTTAATATTTTTTAGTCCAAAAATATTTGCTATTTTCAACAAAACAAAATTATCTATTATTAATCACTTATTTAAATCATGTACTTTAAAACATGTTAATATTTTTATTTTAAATAACAATCACTCTATCTTAATAAATTTTAATGGTAATTTTAAATAATTTATTCTTTTATTTTTCTTAAATAATTTACATATTTAAAAAAAATGTAAAGCAAAACCAAAAACCAAATCTAAAAACTAAAATCCAAAACCAAAAAGTGAAAACGCAGGTTATATTTTTTGTTTTTTTATTTACAAAATAAACTATTTCAAAAAATTTAGAAAATTATTTTGTCATCTTTTCAGTTTTAAATTACATGTTCGATTAGTTGAGATTTGTTTGTTGGTAATATCAGTTCAAACTAACTCAGCGGGTCTAAAAATTAAAAAACCAAACCAAAAGCTGAAAATCAAAAATAGAAACTTAAAAACTAAAAACCAAAAACCAAAATTTAAATCAAAATCTAAAAATAAAAACCGAAACTAAAAACTAATGAAAAACAACTATCACCAGAAATTTTGGTAAACTAATTTTATACCAAAACATTCTTTAAATTAAGACAAAATCAAATTATATAAATTAATCATAAAAAGTTTCCGCGCTTTTCAAGCGCGGATCAAAATCTAGTCTATTCTATTAAAATAGAGTCATTCTTTTTATCTACTGATACAAGTTTTCATTTAAATTTGGACCTTTTCTAGAATGTTACAAAGAATATAAGTAATATAATTGATTGAACCGTATTACTTAAATTAAACCAACACAATTAGTGTAAAGAGACGACCTTAATGTAAACTACCTTCAAAATACGGCAGGTATCTATGTGTATAACGAAAACACATTTTTTCTCCTATAAATATGGAATGTTCTAAAAGAATATATATTAAATATTGAATATGAAAATCTACTAATTATACTTAAATTAAACCAGTGGTGATTTATGGAATATAGTCTTGGGCTTACTTTTTTTTTTGAACAAATTATATAGTTTGGTTTTTGGTCTTCGTATTAAGAAAAAAACTCCAAAAATATTGAATAAACTTTTCACCTTAAAAGATCAAAAAATCAATTATTATTTTCAGACCCAAAAGATATTTAATATTTTTAACAAAACAAAATTATCTATTATTAATCATGTATTTAAATCATGTACTTTAAAACATGTTAATATATTTTTTGTTTTAAATAACAATCACTTTGTTTTGATAAATTTCAATGGTAACTTTTAAATAATTTATTGTTTTATTTTTCTTAAATAATTTACTGATTAAAAAATGTAAAGAAAAACCAAAAACCAAATCTAAAAACTAAAATCCAAAACTAAAAGCTGAAAACACACGTTATATTTTTTTGCTTTGTTTATTTACAAAAGGGAAAATTCCATATAAATACCCCAACTAAATTCTATTAAGCTTTTTAATACCCACATTTTTTCACTACCCAGTTTAAAACCTCAACTAATTATTCTGCCCACTTTAATACATCAACTTTTATAACTGTATCAATTTTAATACTCAAACTTTGTTTATTTTAATTAACAATACTAATAAGTTTCCAATGAAATTTTAAAAATGTCTAAACTTCACAAAAAAAATTAATTTTATTATATGTTTGAGTAACGAAATTAAATAAATTTTTTATAATCTTAAGTTTTGGAATAAGTTTTTTAAGTTTTATATATTGAATTTAGTTTGTTTTATTAAAATAAAAAGTAAATTATTTTTTTTCCTTCAAAAACTTTTTTTTTAAACATTAAATTTTCTTACAGAGTTTGTTTACCTTATTTCTTAAATCTTCACATAAACTTAGAAAATTTAAATATTTTTTCTTAGATTTTGGAGATTTTTTAAAATTTCGTTTGAAATTTATTAGTATTGTTAATTAAAATAAACAAAGTTTGAGTATTAAAATAGATACAGTTATAAAATTTGGTGTATTAAAATGGAAAGAATAATTAGTTGAGGTATTAAACTAGGTAGTGAAAAAGTTTGGGTATTAAAAAGCTTAATAGAATTTAGTTGGAGAATTTATATGGAATTTTCCCTTTACAAAATAAACTATTTCAATTTTTTTTTAAAAAAAATTGTAATGATCTTTTCAGTATTAAATTAGATGTTTGGTTATTTGAGATTTGTTTGTTGGTAATATTAGTTCAAACTAACTCAGCGGGTTTAAAAATTAAAAACCCAAACCAAAAACTAAAATAGAAAAGTAGAAACTTAAAAACTAAAAACCAAAAACCAAAATCTAAAAATAAAAACTGAAACTAAAAACTAATGAAAAACAATTATCACCACAAATTTTGGTGAACTGAATTTATATCAAAATATTTTTTAAATTAAGACAAAATCCAATTATATAAATTTTTAATCATAAAAAATTTCTGCGCTTTTCAAGCGCGGGTCAAAATCTAGTCTATCTTATTATATAAAGCTCAGTTTTTAAAATTATTAATTAACATAGTCACAACACATGGCTGATTATTTATTTAAAATTATCACATGTATTAAATAAGAATTTCTTTTAAAACCTTAAACCAAAAAATTTAATAGTTAGTTTTACCTTTTCAAAAATCTTAAATATAAATTTTATAAAAGTTAGTTTCTCTTTTTAAAAAAAAAAACAATCTGAAACAAAAACTGTAAAAATTATATCTGCAAATAAATAATATTTAATAATAATATATTTTTTAAAGTTACTAATTAAGATGATTATGAAACATGGAAATTATATATTTAAGATTCTGACATGTGTTGAACAACATGTGTTATTTTTTATTTTTAAAAAACTTAAACCAAAAGAATATAAAAACAATTTAAAACGTTAACTTTCCTTTTTGAAATTCTTATACAAAAAACCTTTTTTAATATTTCCATATAAATAAATTTTAACAAGGATATTTCTTTTTTAAAACATGGGTTTAAGATAATTATAAGCTTGATTTTTCAAAGTTACTAATTAATATGACTGCGATACATGACAATTATGTATTTAAGATTATGATATGTGTTAAATAACAGTTTTCTTTCAAAAAAAAAAACTTAAACCAAGAAAATATAAAAATAATCTACAAATATAATTTTCCTTTTTAAAAATTCTTAAACAAAGAACATTTTTTAAAAAAATTTCCATATAAATAAAATTTTAACAATAGCATTTTTTAAAAAAATGTCTAAAATAATTAACACTAAACATTATTTTAAGATAAATTTCTATACAAAATGTTTAAAAATATTATGAAAATGTTTAAATAGATTTAAACATAAAATCTAGATGCCACATTATTATATTTGGAATGCCAAATTATGTGCCCTAATGAAAATGTTTGGAAGTATTTAATAAATAGAGGTTTCATGCCACATTATTATATTTGGTGTTGGGGGTGGATTTCAACCTCCAATCAAGGCCCATTAGACTATGAATTAGGCACATATTGCTAGGAAACCCTAGGCTTCATCTTTCTATAAATAAGGAGCTACCTCCTTCTTAGAAATGATCATTTTCCTCTTTTAAAACCTAGAGCACTTCTTATAGAGACTTATAGATTCACTTTACATTGAAAATCATTTTGTAATGAATCTATGATCAATAAAATCTATTTGATGTTCTATTTTTCATTTTATTTCTTTTTTGATTTATTCTAAACCTCAAGGATTTAAGGATTCAATTCTTAAATCTTTTATTGTTATGATTCTACAAACACACCATTTTTGGATCAAACAGTCGGCGCTAGAAGGAGGAGGCCAAGAAGAACTATCTTCGAAGCAAATCAAACTTGAAAGAACCCTGGATCTATGGTAAAGAAAAAAAAAAAAGCTTTCTCGAGCTTCCATTCCGACAACTAGAGATCTTGACAAGCTCCGTTGGTTTCAAGAGAAGGGATGAAGCTTTATCATGAAGCCAACCGAAGACTCAAGTCCAAGTGAAGCTTGGTCCTTCTTGTGGGACTTTCATCGAGCACTTGGTGGGCTAGTGATAAAATGAAGACAAATTTTGATCTGGACGATGGATGAGTTGATGTGGTGTTTTTCTCGACGAACCGATGACAGCTTGGCAAGGAGACTAATTTCAAGAAGAGAAGCCCAAGCTGAGCCCAAAAAATCTCGCAACTCCTTCTCTAATGCGATTCCGGAGACTGGTTTCCCGGCGACTCCAACTCCTTTCATTTTTCGATCCAAGAAGTCACGAGTGCTGTTCTGTTCCTCCTCTCAGTTGTGAGTGCTGTTCCGTTTCAACCTGGTCCATCTCTTCCCTCCTTTGCTCGGCCAGATCTCTGCAACAACAAAGTCAAGAAATTTTCGTTGAATCTTGTCTCCACTGAGGTTGCCATCGTCAGCCGTGAGCTTGGCAGAAGCAGTACAAGCTACAAGCGGCACAAGCCAACATGTCTCTTGACATCA